AAAAGAAAATAAACCTTAACTCACTTATTTCTACTCGTAATTTTTTGGCTGAGATTATGCAAATTGCTCAGAGTAATTATGAAAAAGCGGGAGAGATACAATCTTTTGAAGTTTGTTATGAGTTAGCCAAACATACCATAGTAAAAATCTTGACTGTGCGAGGTTTGGAAGTTCAAGCCACACCGAAAGAAATATTTCGTTTAGCCGAAGAGGAAGGATTAATTCCTAGTTCAGAAATTTGGTTTAAATTTACTAAACAAAGAAACCGCACTAGCCATGCTTATGACAGCGAAACAGCTCAGGAAATTTTGGCCAATTTACCCGAATTTCTTTATTACTTGGATTTGCTAATTGCTAAATTAAAACAATTACCCGAATGCTCCAATTAAAAGAAAACCACTATCAAATAATCCAACAAATACTAAGCCGATATCCTTATTCTTTTTACGCTTATGGTTCTCGTACTAAGGGGACAGCGAGAAAGTTATCGGACTTGGATATTTGCTATCAGGAAGAAATACCTGACGCCACAGCTTTTTTAATCGAGGAGGAATTCAAAGAGTCTGATTTGCCTTTTAGAGTAGAACTAGTAGCCTGAAAAAATATGCGACCAGCCTTCCAGGAAATGATCAAACCCGATTTAACTTTAATTTCTTTTCCACGCCAGGCAAAGCATTCGAGAAGTTAACAAGGTGAATACGATGAATTTTCATTTGTAACTTATGCCGAACAAAGAAAAAAAACTTCTCGCTGTTAAAAAACTCTTATTAAGCAAAAACTAAGCAAATTTTTAAGTAATTATCATTCTCGTATACTTTTATATTCAACAGGAAAAATATAAGGCAGGCAATTTGCTGAGCAATTTGTTTAATCAATATTTTTCTTTGTCTGCAATTTTGTTGGGGCATCAATGCCAACAACGAGTTTAATACTCTCGTTCGGTTTGTTCAGTAGCCAATTGTTCAGAATGGTTAACCTCTTTTTCTCCAACATTTGTCGAAGTAGATTTTGGTTCCGCTTTTTTGAAAGCACTTCTTAAAGAGTTGCGGACAAAAATGGTATTAACAAAAAGATTTTGTTCCATCTGGGGTTTTTTTTCTCTCGTAATTGTTTGACTTTAACCCTTTTTGGTTGCGAGGACAGATTTGGTATTAACATTTTCTTTTTCGCCAGTCACTTTTTTTTGCGATTGGTGCTTTTTTCTTCTTTGAAGATTTGCTGGATTTGTAATAAAGTTTATCTGGACGAAACTTGTGTTCGTCCCCAGAAAAAAGCAAGTGCCTTAAAAACAGAAAATTTGCTGCGGCTCAAATAGGTAGAAATGTAGAAATAATAAATTCGGATGGAGAAACATTATCGCAACTTCGCTAGTGAAGAACAGGCAACAGGAAAAAATAGGGAGGTCGAGTT